GCAAAGATCGTCGCTCTCCTTTTAGTCATCGTTACTGGAGCAGGGCTTCTCATGTTCGGTAAGTTCTACAGTTCTACGGTTAAATGTAATATTTTTGCGATGTTTAGGTGGTCCACAATATAGAGAATCGTTTGAGAATATTTTCGAAGGAAATTTTCGAGATTTCTATCAAGCTTCAGTAGGATTTTACTCAGGACTTTTCGCTTACCAAGGCTGGACATATCTTAACTTCATCACGGAAGAGCTTATCAATCCAAAAAGGTCTATTCTTGCTTAAAACTCTGTGGGCCAGCTCTGAAAATTGTTATTCAGGAATCTACCACTTGCCGTGATGTTCTCTTGTGTCATCGTTACAGTAATCTATACTTTGTTCAATGTTGCCCTGTACGTGGTGATCTCTCCTGACGAGATGTTAATCAGTCCTGCTGTTGCAGTGGTGAGTTCATATATGGCTTTAGTTGAAGTCAAATTCCCGAAGTTTCAAGCATCTGCCACATCCTATCAGCCGAGCGCAGAAGTGTTCTCAGCTCAATATATTTTTACTGAAATAGCAAATTTGAATTTCTTGTAATGGCGCTGAAGCACTATTGTTCTGCATTAACCTAAAACAAAGCTAGAAAATTGCAAAAATGGACCGTATTTTTTTACTCTTTCGTCCAGCGAATCTCTCAATAATCTGAATAATTTTCAGCTGTTTGCGCAGAAAGTCTACGGCAAATTCGCTTTTATTATGCCACTTTGTGTTGCAATCTCTACTGTCGGATCTGCGAACGGTGTCATTATGACAAGTTCCAGGTATGTATCTGATATATTATAGAAGGTGCCGATGAGTTGCCCAAAAATCGGGGTATGTTGATGGGAAAGGGGAATGAAAAACTCAAATTATGGAAGCTAGGAATTCACTGTGAAACTAAACTTGGCAGCGGCTGCGAATGTAATAAAAGTAGCTTAGAAAAATTAATTCTAAAAACTGTATTCAAACATCTCTGCTGTTGGGCTATGTCTACCGGAGGGGGGAATAAGGATGAACGTAAAAAAATAAAAATAAAAATTAAGTAAAATAAAAATAAAAAAACACAAAACAAATGTTGAATGAAAATAAAAAACTAAAATTAAAATG